ATGTGTGCCCTTTTGTAGCAAATCTAGTATGGCTTCATCACACTTGCTATTCACCCCGACCCCCTCTTTCGATCGGCTGATCCGTCTCGGGCCTCCAATCCTGATCTCCCTCATGGTACCGTCGATCTGTTCCTTATCTTTCTAGTTGACCAGTTTCATTCTGTTGCAGTTCCAGTTTGCGTTTTACTCCAGGCGCTATTTCTCAAGGCCCTAGAGGCGCGTACACTTCCGCATCAAAGAGCAGAGCGCTTAGGCTCTGATTCCCACTCTTGCAGATATCAGTCATTGCCTTCACGAGTCGTCTCTTTAACTAAACCCGTGTTAACTAAACGAATTGTGAACGCCTATCTCTGGTCGCTTGCGGCATCTCAAGTAGCATTCCAGTACATTTTGGCCATAACGCCGAATTTCTGTGATGGTTTGTCTATCTGTCTGCCTATTGCTCAGGCCAGGCCGCCAAAGTTGTACTGGTTTATTCAAACAGACATACCTCACTGACAACGTCTTCGCTTGATTGGCAAAGACCTTTGATAGATCCTTGATCCAGGCGTCTCCTTTTTGCTGGTCTTGCTGTTTTGTTTTTCCCGAGTTTGCTTAAGCAGTAGGCAAAGTTATTGCTAACTAGATTTCTCCATTTTCTTGTTTATTATACAGCATAAGTTAAAGCCACCACGCCCAGTCTAAATGGTTTCCAAGGTGCTAACAACTACTGCTCAACACGACGATCGGAAGAAAGTGCTAAACTTTTCGTCGCTTTCTCTTAATCTCTAAACAACTGCGTTCCTGGAAAAAGGACTTTTCAATTCATAATGACAGAAGCCTTCTAGGAGACATCCCGGTGGAGGCTATCAATATCTCCGACAAGTTCCCTGATGAGATAAAACGGGAAATGGAGATGGAACTAATTCCAAAGATCTTGGCACATCAAGAGCCAGCACACGGAAACAGATTTGCCAGGATACGCAAGACTTGGGAATCGAATAAACAATTAGTACTTCAGTTGGATAAAGTGCCAAAGATGATGGACAAAAATAAAATATACCGAGAATATGGGATATATTCTGAGACAAAACCACATCATATACTTAACAAGGACCTAACTATAAAGATCAATGGAATCTTAGGTGACGTGCTGAAAAATAGGTATAGGAACGGGGAAATTTACTCATGGACAAAAATTAAATTATAAGAAAGGATTCACGACCACCAACAGCCTACGGATTACGGAATATGCACAGAGAAGGCGAGCCACTAAGGCTGATAGTCAATGACAAGTATGGAGCAACACAAAGATGGGAAATGTTCATATGCCTGAAACCCAAGAAATTAAATGAGAGACTGCTAAACACGGTGAAACATTCATATGAATTTTCTAACAAAATTTAAAAACCTGGCACTGCAAGAAGCTGACTTATTAGTAAGTTTTGATGTGGAATCTATGTATACAAATATGTCTGGAGAAGATGAGATAATGGCCCTGGACCGAGAGGAGGATATTTTAGAATCACAACGGATCAGGAAGGAATCGTTAACACGACTATTCAACTTGGCATGGACAAAATATAAGAGAAACTTAAGATGTCACTGCTAAAACCAGCAGTGTTCATTCGGTACTAGTTGATTACTTCGCACTTTGATCACATGGAAAAGAAAAACTGGAAGATTTTCTGAAGTTTATAAACCAGATTGATGGAAAAATTAAATTCACGATGTAAGTAGAGGAAGATGAGCGGTAACCCTTCCTGGATGTTCAAGTGATTCCCTCTAATGTGACGCTCAAAAAGAAATTGTTTAGAAAAAAGTCTTTTGCTGGGACCATACTCAATTTCCAATCCCATGTCATTTACAGGCTAAAGATAGGAATAATGAGGAGCATGACCATCTGAAGCCTACATTTTATGTATGTGGAATTTCGGGACGAGGATTTGGACTAGTTGGCTAGGATATTCGACAACGGCTATCCAGGAAAATTAATACTAAAAAACATACGGGCCGTGAAAAGTCGATGACAGAACGGGGACTACGAAAGAGGATTAAAGACGGATAAGGATTCGCAAAAGTAGATATGCCTACCTTCCTGCAAATTAATTCAAAAACTATTTCCAATATTAGGGAAATGCAATATTCAAGTGGACATGAAAGAAATGTCAACACTTTCACAAGTCTATTGACGAGACTTGAAAGGGTGGACAAGCAGGATTGTTCAGGAGCTTAATGTATATCATGCAGCGCCAGCGAGCAGAAATATATTGGCGAAACGGAGAAAATTCTGTAGGTAAATCAAGGATCCTTAAAGGCTCTGCAGGAAAATGGATGTCGAAAGATCTGAATTAGCAGATCACATCGCACAGAGTGGACAAGAGATCAATTGGAAGGCAATAGAAAGAAAGGCCTAATACGGTGAAAACACAAAGTGGAAGATTAGGAAGGCCATTGCTATCCTTGGGGAGAATAATCTAATGAAAAGGTGATTGGAGGAATGACTTTGCCTACCGCTTAAGCAGACTTGGGTAGAACAAGAATAAAGCAATACCATCAAAAGGGGATCGCAATGAGAAATGCAGGGGCAGGGATTTTTAGCAATCATGCGAATACGTTGGCAGTGCGTGATGTCTGTTCGAATGAACCAGTACAACTTTGGGGTCCTAGCAGTCAGGGAGCTAGGCCGATGGATACGCAAACCGTCACAGGAACTCGACGTTATAGCCAAAATATACTAGAAATCAAATTGAGATGCCGCTTGCGACCAGAGATAGGCGTCCACAATTTTTTTAGTTAACACCCATGAAGGCTAGATAAAAAAGATAGATTATTCTACCAGGATCCTTATGCTGCAATCGTGTAGTCTGTCGACGAAGATATGCAAATTACTGAGGAAGTGGGACATCAGGACCACTGTCCTCAGTATTGCCTTCTTTCCGAGAATACTCTGATCCGCTCTCCAGATCGGATTGTTACAAGATTTTGTGTTCATGCGGTAGTGCCTATGTGGCAGAAACCTGTAGATCCCTATATAAGACTTTATCCTAACAACACAGTCGGCAAGGGTCTGAGGGTCCAAAAATCGGAATTGGATGAACGCATGGCTAGCACAGGACTCCAGATAGATTGGTCTAGTGCTAAACACTGGATATGGAGACAATAATAGTAAGCAAAATATTAGGAAGGCGATAGAAATCAACCAACAATTTGAATAGAAGGAATGAGTTTAGGATGTTAAGCGGAAACTACTTGTTGCTGTTTGATAGGTTTAGAGAGAGATGCGGGGGACGAGAAGTACCACCGATCAAGAGGAGGCTTGATTATGCTGGAATTTGGTTTTGACTCACATCACACTTATTTAAAGAGCAATGCGCTCATAGAACACGTATGCAATGGGACGCAATAACATGCGGTAACATTGCAGGATCAAATAAATAAGTGTTTTAGGTAAGGATGCAGCTGTTCAGTTTCAAATGCGTCCATGTTTCGCTTCATCTGCAGCCACTTCATATGTCACCAGAGCCACAACCTAATTTGTGAGCAAATATAGAGGCAAAACATAGGACATCCAACCAAAACATGAGATGCATAAGGTGACCAAATTGTTATATAAGAAGGAAGTAAGGCTGAAGCCGGCCACCTTTCTTGCTTTCGTGTTTTGGGTCAATTATCGTTAACAATGGTGTCCTGCTCTGATGATGTCCTTCACATGACGGACGAAGGTTCATCAAGTATTCATTTGGGTCGCAGGGCGGTGCGCCGAGGCCCTATTCGCACAGATCTATAGTCACAGCTCCAAGGCAACCTCTCCACAACCTTCGGTGGAACCAACTTACCCCTTCCACTCGCCTTTTTAAACGAAACGAGAGGTACTCCAAAATTAGCTTATTAGAGTCTGCCTCTTACTCCGCAGGATCCGTCTCTTATCTTTCTGATGCAGCATATTTACTTGACCACTTTCATGAAGCATTCTTTTCTACACTCTGCTCCAAGACTGATAACACCTATCCTCCAGCCTTGCTCATAAAGCCCCTAGAGTCTGGATTCTCATGTAGCATGGAAGCCTAACTAGATGTTGCCGATTCCTTTATCACTGTTCGGCGTGCGCTTCGAATAAATCTCGGGATCAATTTTTTAGCGGGCAATTGATCAAAAGATCGACCTGACTTGTCTCTGACGAGTTATTGAATGATGCTAAGAATGTCAAGGCTCACTGACAAGTCGTCTGGGATTGACTGTGTCCATTCCCCGACTGGAAATGACCATGCATATTATTAAGTCTGGACAAGTGACCTCACTCTATGTGGTTCTTGCAACAAGGTCAAACAACTTCTATGTATAGAAAGTAGACAGCAGCCATACTAAAGGCCATATTATCTTGGTTCTCCTAACTCCATAGAACTATTTATGCCTATTCCAATCAACGGAGAGGATGTTGGACCAGCATCCAAA